TTAAGGCAAATGAATGCATTAAATAAATAAAATGCATTATTTCAATATGTTATTACATTGACTAAACCACAGTTACCACTATTGGTTACCAGCTTACGTAAGCTCACAAGAGAAAAGTTAGGACATCTCTTCCAATTCTGCATTCAGTAATGTCTAGTTGGTAGCTGGAAATCGGCCATGGCAATATTTATGTCACAGAAAAATTGACACATGCTACAAATCAGGACTTTCTTTCTATGTGGAATCTAGTTTTTAAACATTTACCAACATACCACTCCCTACTTCCAAGAAACAGCTTCCCCAAAGAGAGCCTTCTTCTTTCACTTTGATCTCAAAATATGTACGGCCATGCTATGAAAGTATTTGTTGTTGTTGTTGTTTTTAATCCACTGTAGTTAACACACAGTGTTATATTAGTTTCAGGTGTACCATATAGTGATTCAACAATTCCTTATATTATTCATTGCTCATCAAGATAAGTGTGCTCTTAAATTTATTTCCTTATAATTACCGTAATGTGGGTCCAGTTCAGACTTCAGGGGGAGAAAAAGACTATAGGACTAGAAAATAATCTTAAGATAAATTGAACTATTTAGTGTGTATTAGTTATGTGGCATCACTGGCTGTAAAGTAGGGTGACATTTCCAAAATGTTTAGTTGTCAATGTGTGGTAAGAACCCTAAAAGTTTAAAACACAGTAGATCACTTATTTGCTGACATCCTGCCAGTGGCCCCACTACAAAGAATAAATTTGACCTCTTTACAGTGACCTTCCTAACAGAATATAATTTGGCTCCTGTTTATATTCACCCTCACATTATCCTAGCACTCATTCCTTTCCCTGTTACTCTCCTTCCCGGCGTTCCCAACTTTTTATCCGATCCTCTTACTCATCCAACTCATTCCTGTCTCAGTATCTTGGTGTCACTCAGCACTCTGCATGGAATACTATTTTCCCAGTTCTCCTCTTTCCTTTCTCCTCTCCTTCCTTCCTTCCCTTCTTCCTTCCCTCCCTCCCTCCCCCCTTCCTTCCTTCCTTCCTTCCTTCCCTTCCCTCCCTCCCTCCCTCCTTCTTTCCTTCCTTCCCTCTTTCCTGCCTGCCTGCCTGCATTCCTGCCTTCCTTCCTTCTTTTCCCTTTCTTTCTCTCTCTCTCACTTTCTTTCTCTCTCTCTCCATCTCCACCTCCATATATCTCTTCTACTGCATTCTTTTTCTCCCGATCATGATTTAGCCCTCACTTGCACAGAAAACTCTTTTCCAGTCACTCTCTGCCAAGTGGGACGACCACTCTTCAGTGATTGTGTAGCTTCTTACCCTATTTATTTGCTTCTTACACTTGTTCCTATATGAAACCATCCTACTTATGAATTTGTTAACTTCTGTTGTCTGTCTTCTCATGGTTGACTATAATATTCAGGAAAGCCAGGATTTTTTTTTTTAGTCTCTTATTCACTGGTGACTATCTTGTCCCTTTAATGGTGCTTGACCCATAACAGCTATGACTGCAGGGAAGAAGGAAGGAAAGATGGGAGGGGAGAGAATTTAATGTCTTGGCCTTGATTTGAGTGGGTTAAGTTATTGAAATACTGAAAACTTCATTATTAGGTAGCTTCATTTATTAAGAAGTTCCTCTTCATGGACGACAGGGAAAGCATGAAATAGAAGCTTCACTATAGATGTCAACCTAGCCAAAACCTGCAAATATACAGCTCTGTTTTCAGGCATGAGCTATTTGCTGGAATTTAGCCATAGGCATATGAAAGGTTAGAACAGTAAAATATTAATATCTGGGCTTTAAAGACAAAGACAATAAAATTCATCCAAAACATCTGATTTATAGTCAACTCTATTTTGTGAAGTTTTATGGATATATAACACAGGATACTGGTCTGTGTATTTGACACTTCAGGCTGCATGTGATGGGTGGTGAATAAGGAAGTATCCAGGAAGGAAGGGGAAAGCAATAGGCTTATTTCTCTAAAGGAATAATTTAAACCAGGGATGTTTGGTTTTATTCCTTTTGGCAGAGCATTTGAAATAATTTGATGCTCAGCCCATGGATTTGAAAATGTTTTTAAAGCACAATCTCAGCATCCAGTTAATTCAAAGACAAATTGTTTCTGAGACCACTGCTGGTAGGGCTAGGACAACTCATGACATCCTGCTTTATCCAGCATTAACTTAGTAGCTGGAAAAATATCAAGATATACTTTCTAAGGCTTTGGGAGATTTTATTTCACTGGCTCCCATTGATTTCATTATTGTTATTCCTGAAAACATATTGCATGTGCAATGTATAACTTGACTCATCTGCCAGGTAGAAAAACATAATTTTTGTTCTTGAGGATGTTATAATTGGGAAATGAAAATCACACAAAAAACATGTGGATATAGAGGTGCAAAGAACATTGTCTTGCCAAACACAACTTTGGTTTAAAAAAGAAGGAAATTTTACAAGCAAATACATTGGAGAAGTAATTAAGAGGACTTTGAGTCGTCTATTAGTCAGATTTTCCATTTTCTGGGTATTTAAAAGAGAATTAAACTGAATAATCTCCAATATTTCCAGGACTCCATTTTAACGTAGAAGCAGGATTTTACTATAAATAATGCTTTTTTGGTTTTTTGTTTTTGTTTTTTGCTTTTTTAGAGAGAGCGTGCATGCCCACACAAGCAGGGTGGGGGTGGGGGCTCAGAGGGAGAGAGAGAGAGACAGAGACAGAATCCCATGCAGTCTCCAAACCCAGCATGGAGCCCACCGCAGGGCTCGATCTTACGACCCCTAAATCATGATATGAGCTGAAACCAAGAGTCAGGCACTCAACTGACTGAGCCACCCACGTACCCCAATAAGGCTCTTTTGAGTAAAACAAAGTTCTGTAACACTGAGGGACATGATATATAGTAAGGTTTAAGTCTGTTTGCAAATATCCTGGACACTCTTAAGCACAAAGCATAAAACTTTATGATGACAAGAGTCTGTAACTGTGTCAGAGCCTCATTACATGTTTTAGACAGCAGGGACAATGAAAGGAAATTTAAGCAATAATCACAGCACAGAATTCTGAAGTAATTAACACAAAAAAAAGTCTTAGTTTATTCTCAAAATTGATGTCTTTTTGGAAGTAGGACTAACTCTTTCATTTTGACATTAGTCTGTTAAACCAACCACAAGTTCAGCTTACCCAAATAACTTATTTGGGTATTAATTAATACCCAAGCTTAATTAATGATTCTTCAAACAATTTAATTTAATACCAATTCTTTGACATCTGGAAAATAATGCTCTGTAATATTAACAATCTGCTCTAGCTCTTGTGGATACAGAGGCCCCTATAGAATTATTTAATCCATGAAATTACCCTAGTAAGTCCCTGTTCTTTGAGGTTCCCTCCTAATGACGGCTAGAGAATGTAGGGCATTAAAAGAAAAATGCCAAAAACAAAAGGTCTGTTTCAGGCAGTCATCTTACTATCCCACTGCCAATACCATCACAAGCTTCCTTGTACCCACACCCCTCAAGCTTCTGTTGTGATGTATTTTCCCTTTGAGGACTCTACTGGTGTTCCTTTCAAAGCTGATTTCATCCAGATAAATATCAAAGACAGATGAAAAGATGGCAACATGAGTGACAAATGATTTTCCTCAAAAGGGCTAGCCCCAAGTCTATTATATCTCTCAACAGATTTTGCTTCTGAAGAACCTTACTGTGCTTTCCATGGCCTTTTTTTCCCCACCCAATACTCTACCCAACCTTGATACCTTACACAACACACAGGGAATAGATTCCTAATATTAATTGACTTGATTTGAATATGCAAGAATAGTAAGCAGTCATGGCCAAATAACTCTATAAGGTTAATGAGAAGCTTTAGGTATTCCTGTAAGCAACAGTATTTCCATAAACATATCTCTATACTATAGAGAATTTAGAATGTGTAACCATGATCATTTACAAAAATATATACAATTGTGGGGGCTTTTTTCAAGTGTGTGAAAGAAAAAGAAGCTTGCAGAGAAATATTGACAATGATACAGCCTGAAGTAGCAGTAGGTAAATGGCCCCATGCAAAAACAAAACAAAACAAAAACAAACAAGGGGTGCCTGGGTGATAGACATGGGGGAGGGTATGTGCTATGGTGAGTGCTGTGAATTGTGCAAGACTGTTGAATCACAGATCTGTACCTCTGAAACAAATAATACAATATATGTTAAAAAAAAAAAAAGAAGATAGCAGAAGGGGAAGAATGAAGGGGGGGAATCAGAGGGGGAGATGAACCATGAGAGACGATGGACGCTGAAAAACAAACTGAGGGTTCTAGAGGGGAGGGGGGTGGGAGGATGGGTTACCCAGTGATGGGTATTAAGGAGGGCACGTATTGCATGGAGCACTGGGTGTTACATGCAAACAATGAATCATGGAACACTACATCAAAAACTAATGATGTAATGTATGGTGATTAACATAACAATAAAAATTTTAAAAAAAGAGTACAAGGCAAAACAAACAAAAAAACCTGTCCACTGCACAAACTGAAATCCTGCCTTCTTTATTTTCCCAATTTTTTACTATACTCAGAAATATTCTTTCAAAAATATTCTCCTGCATGGATCCTTAAATGTCTAACCACAAACAGTTACTAGTATGTCATAGTTGATTTGTACTATGAACAAAGTAATGTATAAATTTTCCCAAGAATAATGAACTGAAAAGTAGTAAATATGGATCAGTCCTCACTGATGTTTTACTTCTTTTCCATTGTACTTTTTCCCAGAAGATGTATATTTAAAATTCAAGTAAAATGCTTCCTTGGCAGTAGGTCAGTATCTTCCCAATGAAGAGCCCATTGATGATACAGAATAGAACTTCCTTTCCCCCTTGAGTAGAAGGCTGCCTATTATTCAGTGTCCTTTTTGTCACATTGAGGAACAGGGAACTTTTTCTTCTTTCCAAGAAATGGCCTTTCAGATTCAGTAACAACATGTTCTGTTCCTCAGGAAATAAGAGAAGATCGAGATAGGGCGCGGCTGGACTCCATGGTGCTGCTAATTATGAAACTGGACCAACTTGATCAGGACATTGAGAATGCCCTCAGCACCAGCTCCTCTCCGTCCAGCACACCGACGAACCTGCGGCGGCACGTTCCTGTGAGCTTTCCTTTCTGCTTCTTTTCCCCATGAGAATGCTACCTCTTTATTTCATACAGTCCCTCTTGCAAATGAAACATCTTCGATGGGAGCACTACCTATATGTGTCTCTGATAAGTGTTCCATAAAGAGCACTCAAGTAATTTTGTGCTTGATGCAATATTATTTAAAAGAGAAGTGTGATTAAAAAGGAAATGGTTATTATTAGTTAGACAAAAAAGAGGGTCACCTGGGGAAATTATGTTTCCTAGAGATCAAATCATCTTTGTTGTAGTTGTTTCTCTCATGGTCAGTCTTCTCTGACATCCTATGAACACCATTCACAATGCTATGTCTATCTTGTTTAATATTTCTTTTCCAGTATCTCACAAATTTACATTGCATGTAAAAGATGCCTTAAATATCTGCAGCATGCACACACGCGTGCATGGATGTTTGGATAGATGCGTGAATGGATGAATGGGTGCTGGACTGACCCAGCATACTACAAGAAATAATTTAGATGAGATTAACTTGAAAGCACTCTAAAATTCACTCTGCGAAACACAATGAATAGGCCAGAGGGGAGAATTTTATTCTACTGTGCATTAATTTCATGTAAGACAGACACTCCTCTGAGATTCTGACATTCAAAATAAAATTTGGAAGGCAGATGCCAGGACTGACTGTACACTTTACATATTTACTATTAGCTTTATATTAAATGGCTTAGTTTGTATAGATCAAGCAAGTATGATGGTAGATTTAAGTAAGCCATGAATCCCTTTTCAATTAATCTATTACTTTCACTATGCAATAATCAACACATTAAGTCAAGAAATTATGTATTTACCTAAGATCAAAGGGGTGGAAAGTCCTATATATAAATCTGAGCACCTACCAAACTAGAACTATTCTGTATCAAATTCTTTAATTAGTGTAGTTCTATCATTGATTCTGAAGTTATTCAAGACTTATTCTGACTATGGGGCAGAATATTTCAAAGTAAATAAACAAAATGATAGCTAACCTTGGAATATGTTAGGTATTATTCTAAATGATTTATATATGTTAACACATTCATTCCTCACAACATTTTTCCAGTGAGTGAAACAGAGAAGTTAGTAATTATATGTGTCAGAGCTGAAGTACACACCCAGTGAGGCTTGATCTAGAGCCATGTCATTTAACCACTACACCACAGCTTTCTCTAGCTGACTATGGTGGATATCTTGGAGCTTAAGCAAATGATAGATGACAGATCGATGGAGAGAGAGAGAGAAAGAGATGAAAAGGAAGGAAGGGAGGGAGGGAGGGAGGAAGGAAGGAAAAGAAATTAGATGCTTCAACTTAAAATCTAATAGTATGAAATCTTTGCTTTTGCCTGTGACCTTCTGGATAATTTTTTCCTACCCTTCAGGATTCATCTCATTTCATCTTTACAGTGAAATCTTGCCTACATCTCCTTCTGTCTTCCCGTAATCAATTACTCCTTCCGTGGTGCTGCCATAGTGTCTTGCACATACTTTAATAGGACAGGCATCCCAATGGAAGAAATACAATTAAAGTAATCTGAAGACCAACAAGAAGGGGTGTTTTAATCTTGATTACATATGAAGGGTGTGTAGAACAATTATACTCATTTTCATCACTTTTAAAGCCAGAAATAACCATATTTTTCAATAAGAGGTATTTCTTAGTAGTTCTTTGCCATGAATGTAGGCACGGGACACATTTTCTCTTTGGAAGTTGTCTGGTAAGAATTGTTAATATCTCCCTATCTTTTTAATCTCTCCCCTTTTCCATCTATATTGAACTTTCCTCAATCCCCATCTATTTAAAAGAAAAAACCCAACTCCGATTTCTGCTGAATGCACCTTCATATTGTCATCTCCATCTCAGAAAGCAAGACAGCTCTTATCTGCTAGACGTGTTTCTTTGTTCAGTGGTAAAGACAAAACAAAAACAGGAACAAATACAGGTGTTGATTTTAGGATTCACCTACATCTACATCTTCTGCCTCCATTTAAAATATAAACTAGATTTTAATTACATGCACTGTCTCATGGAATATCACTACCATTGCTGAGCAATGGTTGATTATATGAATAGAGATCTATTTCTAAGTTTTCAGTTCAGTATATACTTGGAATAGGCAAAATAATACCGTAGAAACCTTATGAACTTTGAAGTTTGCAGGCCTGGGTTCAAATACCAGCTCTACAACTGAATATAAGAATACAAGAAGATTATTTGATTTCTCAACTTCAAATTCATGTGAAAAAGGCAATATTATTGCCTATCTAATGGCTCATTCGGAGGAGTAAATGAAAGAATATATGTTACGATGTATCACGCAGATCTGACACAGCACATATTTAGAATGTGTTATTTCCTTTCCTTCTCCCATGTACTCACACCAGGCACTAGGCTAAAGATGAATAACACATAGCCTGAAGCGCTCAAGACATCTTTTTGGTCTTTTGGTTTTTCTAGGTCCTCCATTGTTCTTTATTTCTCTTCCTTGGTATTTAAAGCTAATTTTAAAATTCTCTCATCATTCAAAATTTTTTTCCACAGGCACTTTCCTTTTCTTTTGATAATTGCACCATGGAATAAAGGAATTATAGCAGCATGATTATGACCTTGATCATCTAGCAAGGAGCACTGTCCCAGATTCAGAGGAGACACTCCCTCTTTCACACCCTTATACTCCACTGTGAATTTACAGTTTAACAGGGAAAACAAGACACAAAATGCAACAATGATCTCAGTTTGAGATTCCTTATGAGAAAGTGCTGGAGTGAGCTTTTTATCTATAATAAAGGGAATAAAAAATAATAGACTAAAGTCTTTAAGAATGGCTTGAAGATGAAAAAATAAATAAAATAAGAATAGAAATAGAAACAGAATAGAAATAAAGATTTAAAGGGGGCTGACTTGATAGAGACTTGCAAGTTGGCTGTACCTTGGTGGTTCACCCCAGCCCAGGATCTGGTTTTCTCCTCTGAAGTCCAAATATTTGATTTTGTCCAAGTACCCACTTCGTGTCAGTCTCTTAGAGCTGGCAAATGATGGCCAATCTCATGGAATGGAGGCGAGTGGGGAATGGAGAGGACAGTAGTATTTACTGAGCACTAATCTTTATATATGTTACTTCATTTACCCTCAACAATCTTAAAATAAGAAGCTGAGCTCCAGAGAAGATGAGTAATTTACCTCAGGTCATACAGGTGGGGAGTGGTGAGTAATTTACTGAAAGACAGACAGATGGTAAGATTTATTTCCACATATGTCAGACTTCAACGCTCATTCCGCTATATTCTGCTCATTCCTCTATATTATAACCCTTCCCAAGATGCAAATTGTTCATTCACAATAGAATAAGTGCCATTTCCAGAACCAGAATCCCCTTTTCTGACAGTCGAGGAATTTTTTTCCTGATAACAATGTATTCTGAATATTAAGTTATTAATTGTGTTTGAGTTAACATGTAAACAAGGCAATATTGATAATATCTTCAGGTATTTATTCTATGCCATCAAGAAGCTTAAGAAACATATAAGCCAGAACCCATTTCACTACCTTTCATTGAACCTCCAGCACTGTATTTTTTGGCCTTCCTCGACCTTTTCCCATAGTCTGAGGAGGCTATTCAAGAATGTCACTATTCTCCCCAAACCCTGCCCAACCCTTACACCTATCTCTTAGCAAACATCCTTGCATTCCTCTTCATAGAGAAAATGGACAACTGGCAGGAACTTTGCAGCCTCACAACTGCAAATATTTATAGGTACTCCTTTTCTTCTCTTTTTTCCTCCTACGTCCTCCCCTATGAGCCAAGCTCCTCTTCACCTAGTATATATTCTGTGATTTAATTCTTGTCTATTGCTCCATCATTTCTCTGCAACGCATCTCCTGTCTGAAAAATCCAGTAGTAGCTCCTCAGTCTTTAGCTGTAGCATTTGATGCAATTGCATATCCTCTCCTCCTTGGATTTCACAACTCCCTGGACTTCTGGCTCCTCTCTTTCCTTTTCTTTCATATCCTCAGATGTTACTTTTCATATACTAAAGTGACTCCTCTTCTTATATTTGCCCCTTAAATTTTATCTCCAGATTTTAGACTTAGTTCTATGTCTGACAGAATATTCTCCCTGGAAATTACCATGGATTGCAAGACTTTTTCTTCGTATTTGAGGGTCACCAGTGAGACCTTTTTTGCTATCTCCAGATCTGTATATCCAGTGGATCACTAGCTACTCACTCCTTTATGCCATAATTGTACTGTGTATGCATCTCTACTATAGCGCATCATACTGTATTCCCTACCATAGTGGGAACTACTCCAGGATTTTTATATTCCCATTGCCTGGCACAGTTGAAGCATGGGGTAACAGTGATAAATGGAGCCTAGTAGGGAGATGATGTGGAAGATGAATTAGACAAAGCAAAGATGAGTCACAGGGAAATTATTAGATGGCAGTTGTAATGATAATTTAGGGCTTGTTAACCACGTATTTTGGGTATGGTAGCAGTGGAAAAAGAAAAGAAGGAGTGGATATGAGAGATTCTGAGAGAGCTTGCATATTATTTCTCACAGTGAAGAGAGAGCAAACAAAATAATAAAGATTTGTACTAAACTACATATTTGTGACCCTCCTTAAATCACTTACGTAGTTGTGTTTTAAGCTCCCAGCAGAATATCACAGTAGCTATTAAGGAAGTTGAACTCTGGGATCTGAGAAATCTGAGTTTTAATGTCAGCCCTGCTGTATAATGTGAATTTGGTCAAATTACTTTCCTTAAGCCTTAACTTTTTCTTGTCAAGTGATGATGATAATATCCTCCTCATAGGGTTGGTGAATATTGAAGCAGGTAATTGCTATATAGCATTGTCTTTAAAAGGTAAAAACACAATAAATGGTAAATTTTTAAAATATTTCTCAGTTTGCCTCAGAACTGTTGTATTGTTAGAAAGGCAGAAGGTTACCCTGTTAATCACCTAATCAAATTATAAAC